GTTGTCGATCGAGATGTAAGTCTTTTCTGCGGAGTAGCAAAAATGAGCCTTTTCCAACCAGTTTAATTCTGATTCATTTTTAAGTTCTGCTTGACCCCAATGTGGACCCGGCCCAATGTGGACCCGGTCCAATGTGGACCCCTATGCGGGACAAATTCAACGTTGACCCCCTAACTAACATGTGTTGCCTAAAACGTTAATAACAGCATTAGAGAAAGATGTATGTTCTCTCATCAAAGTAAAGTGCATGTACATACTGATTCATGAAAGCTGAGCGACAAACAACCTTCGTATTTTAGATCATGGGTACTTAAAGCATCTGTCGGCCGAGTAGTGACCGATACTATCGGTCGACAAGTCGACCGACATTCGGTTGATTCTCGGTTGACAAGTCGATCGATAGTCGGCCGACTGCCGGTCGCCATGCTATTCATGTCGGTTGACCGTCGGTCGCCACAATCGGTCGATACCTGTTCGGTATGTTGGTCGAAACTTGGCCGACACCTCGACCGTTACATTGCGATCAACAGTCGGCAGTGTATTGAGTGTCGGTGGTGTATCGGTAGACTGTCGGTGGTATGTGTTGTTTTGGAATGGTAGCCGTCTACGTGTCGGTCAAGAGTCAACCGATTTCGTTTGACATGTCGACCGATACTTGGTCGATAAGCTGGTCGAGTATCAGCCGACTGGTCGATGGACACTCGGTCGACACGTCGACCGATAATATCGATCGATACGCGACCGACAGATACCTAAGTATACATGATCCCGTGTTTTTCCGAGGATTTTCAGTAAGCCCCATATCCAATAATACTCTCCTCCCCTTCAGTGGACCTCCCCAAGGAGAACTCATTCGATTGGTTCACCGGTATGAAACGTTGTTCGATTCAGTTTTACGATCGGTGACATGTGGTTGTCATTACGATAAAAGGTAAAAGAAGTTTTTTTTTAGATTTTTCCATGTTCTCCTCAAAAAAGAGAGAACAAACAATCGGTGTCAGTGACACACCGACGGACATCCCGAAAAACTTACGACGAACATACAGATACATCTTAGCGATTCCTTAATTCACGCGTCTGTGCATTCTGGTAGTCGCGCACCCTAACTGCCTTGATTCTGAAAAAAGATAGTCCAAAACTAGCACTCGTTTTTCTGTTATTCATCGACTGGCCTCAGAGGCTTTGACACTGTTTGATCTAGAAGTGTACACGAGGAACCCAAATAAGTGCCTTGACGTAATTGGTTGACAAAAAAAGGTTGGACTCATATTTAAAAGGATTAACTTTTACTAATTAGCGCTCTCCCACTGATAATTGCAGTAAATAAAATTTAAAGCTCGCTTTTCCATTATCTTTGGCCACCAAAGAGTGAAATACTGAGTCTTGCGGAAAGTTTGACTGTAAATTTGTGAAATTACCCATTGACACAGAATCGGGATATCTTTATTACTACCGTAAAGAATGGGGACAAATTCATCTAAAATCAGCAGGAAAGTAAAAGAAAAAAATAACAAAGGTGATGGGCCAAGGAGAAGCGTTCAATTTGCGGCTACGAAAGCAGAACCCCCTCTAAAAAGGAGCAAGAAGCAAATGGCGTCTTTACGTCGCAAAGGCGTAGTTGATGAATGCAATGTCCAAAGTTATCACGAAGGAGCGATGACAAAAAATAGTCGGCTTCAACAACTACATGCAAACCCGCCTCCTGGATTCAGAAAGTTCGAGTCCGAAGTGCCATGGCGAACCATTGATGAAGAATTGGCGCTTCAGTTGTGGGAGGGCGTCTTCCAACCAATGTATACTACCATGTTGCCGCTAAAAAGTTCCCGGATACAGAATGAACAGAAAAGTTAAGGCCGGGAGTGCAACATGAAAAGAAGTTTCTTTTTCTGTCAATTTTATTTGTGGTCTTAACTTTTTCAGCCTGTCAATTTTTCTTCCGTTTATTGCTTTTTGAGAGAAGCACGGAGCGAAAGAGCAGTTGGGTAGTTTGAATAATCGTGATTGCACTCTTGAACTTTGACTGATAATTACATTACTGATTTTTGTGGTTAGTTTGTCAATTTTTCTTCCTATCATTGCTTTTTGAGAGAAGCGCGGAGCGAAAGAGTAGTTGGGTAGTTTGAATAATCGTGATTGCACTCTTGAACTTTGACTGATAATTACATTACTGATTTTTGTGGTTAGTTTGTCAATTTTTCTTCCTATTATTGCTTTTTGAGAGAAGCGCGGAGCGAAAGAGTAGTTGGGTAGTTTGAATAATCGTGATTGCACTCTTGAACTTTGACTGATAATTACATTACTGATTTTTGTGGTTAGTTTGTCAATTTTTCTTCCTATTATTGCTTTTTGAGAGAAGCGCGGAGCGAAAGAGTAGTTGGGTAGTTTGAATAATCGTGATTGCACTCTTGAACTTTGACTGATAATTACATTACTGATTTTTGTGGTTAGTTTGTCAATTTTTCTTCCTATTATTGCTTTTTGAGAGAAGCGCGGAGCGAAAGAGTAGTTGGGTAGTTTGAATAATCGTGATTGCACTCTTGAACTTTGACTGATAATTACATTACTGATTTTTGTGGTTAGTTTGACGACTGAAATGAAGATAAGTTGATTTTATCAATTAAATTGATAATTCAAATTGGCCGCCTTAAGAGTTCTTACAGCTGAAGTTTCGCGTGTAAGCCCTTCCTCATTTGCTCTGACAGCTAGCGTATGTTTGAAAACCTGAATTACGCCGATATTTCTCAGATTTGCTAACTCACTTCGCTTTCATATTTTTTTCAACTAACTGTCTGAAAATCTGAAAAAAGAGTCTAGTAGACAAAGGGGTTATTTTCTAAAGAAACTGTGGTGCTGCGTCGGTATAAGAGTGTAATAAGGTAATTTGGTATTATCAATTGAGTTAATGAAACTAAATTACCCTGAGATAAAAAACAAATGTGTTACCACTGGTATTTGTAAAGGACTCACTTCGTTGTACCTTTAAATCAATTTTTGTAAAAATTGATGTTAACTAATGACGATTCACGGAGAACTGAATAAATACATTTCTCTTGACGCCTATCAAAAATCCATTAACGAAAACAGAGGCCAGAGTCGACATTCCGAAGAAAATATGTATTTAACTTGTTAAATGGACCACATTTGGCCAGACCAAAATCTACGAAACTTCTTAAAATTCCAAACAAAGGGGTAGCAAATCTGCACTAACGAAAGCTCAAGAACAACTATCAAAACTCCGTTAAAAAAACAATGTACGGAAAAACGTCCCCCTCCGTTTTCCAATGTCAAGGTTAGAATTCTTTGACGTGTGTGGCTAAAAAGGTACATGAATAACATCCTCGTCTGTTTTCCAATGTCAAGGTTAGAATTCTTTGACATGATTGGCTAATTTGTGAAATCACGCGCGCCGCGCATGGATAAAAAAGAATGCGAAGGGAGAGTGCTAATTAGATGAAGAGAAGGAAAAAGTTCGAACAAAAAAATGAAATCAAGAGAAAAAAAAGGAAAAAAATCATCGCGGCATGATGATAGCATGCAATTACCAATTACTAGTCTGCTTTAGGCTCTCGATAAACTACCATTGTGTAATACCCAGAAGTTATTAACTGAATCCAATTCCACCAGTGTCGTTAATTGTAAGCGTCCCGAATTAATTAGCATGTCCTGTCCTAGTTGTTAAGTAATGGTAATATAGCTTACGAGTAGCCATACCCTCCCCCCTGAAGGTGAAATGGAAGCGATGGAACGTAGACGTTCCCTCGGTTCTATTTCACCTTGCGCGGGAGGGTACGGCTACACCTAGGCTATGTTAATAGGACTGAGTGGAGTCCAATTCGGTCGGTAATCATACCAGTGATTAACAAAATCGGACGACAGCGTTTACTTCGAGTTTGATTACAGACCGAATTGGACGGCACGATGTCTTATTACCAATTAATAATAAAAATTACAATTGCCGAGAAAAGTAGAATAGCCAAGTTATAAAAGAAAGGGAAAATTTACATTAAAAAACTGACAAAGGAGGCGTAAATTCTTTAATTGTTTGATTGGTTAATTCAAACTACAGCTTTGGATGTGATTGGCTCATCGAACTTTCCGCGAACTGTCGGACAACAACTTGGCAAGTGAATTAGTGGAAAATAGGAGTTTCTTAAACCAATCACAATAGGGCTAAAAATTGGGGGTCGCACGGTTGCCAGTGGCGAGTTAAAACTGACCAGGGCCACCAAAAGCTAAGTTTTGAACGCCCGATGTGCGACTATGCCACAGAATTTCGAAAAGTTGCAATGTAAATTATGCGAAATACAAAGTTAAAAAATAAAGCTCAATATGTAGTTTAATTGGACTAACTTTCTCTTCGTTTCTATGCCATGAAAGTCATTGGGGCGTTTATTCAAGTTTTTCATTTTAAACTAGAGGAAATCGAGGGCTACTTCATTTTGGGATGGGCCACTAAGAAGTCAAGGAAACTTGCCCCGACTGGCCTTCAAGCACTGGAGTTAATTTTTAGCCCTGTCACAATCGAAAAAATTGTGATTTTCACGATCATAACTTTAATGAATCGGCTTTTCTTAATGATAGTTTCTATGATCACGGACGTAAACACTTTTAAGTTAGTCACGTCCCAAGTAAACTTCTTTCAATTTAACTGAAGTCCTCTCAGTAATTTTGGCATATGTCATCAATTTTATCTTCAGTGTAGTATATATTACAATGCAAAACAGATTAAAACCAAATTGCGTACAGTACTGTCGAGTAGATGTGAAAGAAATCAACGTCTGTGCAAAGTTGTATAGAAGCGGTTTCATAAATATATAAATAAGCCATAAAGTGAATAAATTAATAGATAGTTAATTTGAACCCGGTCGTCAAATAAACTGCATTGATATGTATACGTTTTGTTAAGAGTGTGAGACAAAGAAAACGTCTCCTATCTTAAAAAAAAAAAAATCTTACACTTATCCTCCCCCCTCCCCCCCCCCCAAAAAAAAAACCTTTATCCAGGCGAATATGAGCTACTGCTGGCAGTAAAATTGAAACTCTCTTCGCTTTGAAAACGATCGATGCTTAATGAATCACTTGACAACTTTTATCTATACGAGCAGTTTTCAGCTGAGTGTTGCAAAACCAAAGCCAAAACCAAAACCAAACCAATCAAAACAACCAATCACAACTACCAATCAGAACAAAGGTTGACATCATCATTAACCAATGAGAACTAAAAAAAAACCACGCGACCTGCGCGGGAAAATGCGAGTGACCAAATTGGGATTAGTTTTAGTTTTGCATTTGATAGCTTGGAATGGTGGCGCGGGCTTTTTAGACCAATCGAAGGGCGAAGTAAAGCAAAACCGAAGCAATCCAGGTTCACTTTTGATACTAAACTGAAAAATGCCTTAGACAGCGTTAAAACTTAAGGAGTAAACCTAAATATTAAGAACTGATGGCAATTCTTTAAATAAAATTATTGCATTAATCTTAACATTTCTAAGTCTTCAGTAATGGAAAATTGCTTATTCCATAAAACTGAGGCAATTCAATACAGCAAAACCTACAGACCAAATAAATAACGCATTTCCGAACCTTTTGGCTTCTTTTTCAAAGCGAGTCCTGGTGCTCATTCTTTCATATGATTATACGTTTCCATTCACATGCAAATTAAATTCATTTTTCATACGAGTGGTTCAGCACCTTAATTCGGAAATGGCCTACTAAGAAACCGCTAATACCCTTTAATAATCGTTGAATAATATTAAAGTCATACAAAAGCAGTAATAACCCAGTCCCTAACATGTGGAACCCCATGAAGAGATAATTAAGGCTGTATTTTACTATCTTGGCAAGAGACGCAATGGATTTTTATCTCCTAATGTGCGTTCGTCAAGCCTTGGCTGCTGTTTGTGGATGTTCATGATTTGAGTGACTGCTCTCTCCCGTTGTCTCTGTTTGTTCCTTCGTGTAGTGGGTAAAGAGAAAGGCATACTCTGGGTGCAATAAGGCGAAATCCCGAAATTCCTCTGTTAACGAGTAAAAATAAATATGTCGTGTAAGTACGTTTACAAAATTTTTCTCGTAACTGTTATGTTTGGTTCTCATTACATCCTCTTCGGAAACACTAAAGAGCCCATTAAAATTTGCCTAACCCCACTTCCCGATGTGGAGGCCTAGTCCGAATACAGTAAAAGCCTAACTTTTTTTTCAGATTTGTTTTGCTGCAATTTCTTCAATTATATATACTTCCCCTTTGAGGATCACTTCGCTACTAACACGCGCGTCAGTATCGCTGGCGAATTTGCTAGCTATCAAGGACACTCTTTGAACTGAAGATTGAAGTAAGAAGGAACATATCAATTTACCCACCAAATGTGACGGATCCACTGTGGTTCACATCCACCTGATTAAACAAACAGTTGATGTTCAGGTCTGTGATGGAAGGGTAGGCACTCTGAAGAATATGACGTAGTTCTGCTTCATCCACTCGCCCATCACCGTTCATATCAAAAACCTTAAGGGAATGAAATGATGGATTGACATTCAATTAAGCATCGAAAGTAATCCGTGATTGCTTTACTTCGGTCTGTGATTGGTCCAGAAAAATCATGCCATGCTCTAAACCAATCAGACGCCAAACGAAAACCAATCGTGACTTGGTCGCCCGCGTTTTCCTGCGCTTTTGGTAGTTTGCCAATTTTCACTTAGAGTCCTCGTTGGCTCTTGATGACGCAAAACTTTGTTATGATTGGCTGTTGTGATAACTTTGGTTTTGCTTTTAGAGCAGTCAATTAAGAACTACCACCAGACGTTAGCTCCAGAGATTTTCAACAAAACTGTCTTCGCAAGAAGAGTTAAAATCAGAGGGAAAGAGACAACAAATATATTTGACATACTGTTTATTCAAAAGGTATTTTACTTGGTTCTTTGACACTAACCTGAAAAGCTAGCTTCATAGCCTCTTCACTGTTCGCTGGTTGCGACACAAGAGCCAAGCCAATAAGATATTCCCGAAAGTTTATGAAACCTGAATCATCCTTACAGGAAAACAACAATCGTTAAGAAAAAAAATCGTTTCTTTTCATTTAACTGCAAATATTTAATCGCAGCGTCCGTATTGTTTTGAGATCAAGAAAGCGTTGGTGGTATCAAATCCGCGTGAAGCATACGAATTTTCGTTCCTTAAAGAGAAAACAGCATAAAGCATAGCAAAAAATGTACACCTGTTCTTCCACATCACGCTCGGGCACGACATTCCTTGCCGCCAAGAAGTGATACCAGCAAAAACGTCGACCCACGCGCGAATACACTCTTATGCACGCACGTGCAACCGAAAACGAACAAAAACAAGCACCCAATTCTCAACACTGATGTAAACACGCGCGTACCTGACCTGAGGCCGCACGCATGAAAAATAACAGCCGCCATTTCTTGTAAGGAGCCTAATGTCGTATCATCGCTTAAAAGTTCATTGAAGACTCACCCTGTCATAGAGTGTGAAGAGATGTTTCACATGACTAGTGACAGGCAGGCTAAGATATTTGGCAAACTCGTTTATATCAACCAAACCATCCCTATTAGCGTCTATTTCAGCAAATTTATCCAACAGCTCCTTCATTGTATCCATCTTCATGCTGTTAGAAAAATAAGCAAAAGTGATCGGTCCTAGCATCCTCGACTTTGATCAGCAATCTGATTTTAAACTCGTATGTAGCTAAGGAAAGATTTCCCACACATTTGACAAAGAACGTACAAGGCAGGCTTGTAAAGCAAAATTTGTTGTGAGCGTTCGTAGTTAGATCTGTAAGTATTTACTATAGCTACTATTCGGGCCTCTTTTCATTACTAAATTCTATTCAATAGGTGGTGCCTTATGTGTGAGATGCAATTCAAAAGGAAAGGATGAAAAGGATGAGAACATCCACCGACCTGAGTTTGCTGCTTATCTTCTGATATTCTACCAAGCCTGTCATGGATGGTTGGTTCTGCTGGGAGGCCTGTACCATTAGTCTTGTGTCTTCATAGGTGTGTTCAGTGACAGGAACATTAAGAAATCTGCAAGAGGGAGAAACTACGTACTTCAAATTCACACTAATGATTGATGTATCAGTGACCACAGAACAAATCTTTTAATTAGTTCTCTCAGAGCACCTGTTATGCAGGTAAGCTAATAATGGTATACTCTATAAAGAAAAGGAAAAGGGAAAAACCAAGTTATTGTAATTTCCATGCTAAAAAAAATGAAAAAGAATATGTGGTCACAAGTGTGATTCCAACTTTAAAACACGCCTCTAATCACCCCTCTCAAAAGTGTGATCAGAAGTATGGAAATATGTGATCTTTTAGGAAACAAAAAGGGTCTTAAACTGGAAACAGTGCTACAAATTGGATCAAAAGACAAACTAAATATTGATGGCACCTTGCTACTTGTTCCCGAACATTCCTTGCATAAAGTTTTCCATCATGGATTTCCTAAAAAGAAAGAAAAACTTTTAGCCTCTGCATCTCCTCCAAGTTGGAGGGTTGTCTTTTTGTGTTTATCTAAAAAACCAGCAAACTAAACTTAAAAACTATGCCACTTCAATAGGAAACTAATATATTTTGAATACTCAGAAAACAGTCTACAACTTGTTGCTTAAAGCTTACTGCTAGTTTGGTTAAAATATACATGTAGTTGTTATAAGAGCAAAACAAAAATAGAAAATGTCACTTACTTCTGTATCAGGCTTGTAAACTGGCAGAATCTAGCATGGAAAAGAAAATTTAAGACATTCCAATCAGAAGCAAATGGTGAAACCCACAACTTTACAAACAAGCTAAGAAAAGCAGTTGATCACTTGTCAATTAAAATAGATATATTCAAAATGAGGATATACTCTATCCTCTCTTGATATCATCACATCAAATGAAAGAAGATTTCATGATCACTTTTTTTACCTCAATTTCCAAGTAATTATGAAACTGGCACAGTGTTAACCAAAGAAGAGTTAGTCTAAAAGGTAACAATTTTAATCATTTATTTGTTAAAGAATCAAGTACAGGGTATTAATAAAACTAGATAGAAATTAGTTATCTTAGAACAATCTATTATAAATTAGGTCTACTAAATAAAAAGAATTACAAGTTTAAAAATTGATAATATTTCAATCTCTAGGTACACTACAGAATAATTTAAGATATAATAATGATCAATGGCAGATTCATCAGGGACTTATTCAGGCCTGTGCAAACCAAATTACTTCTGTCAGCAATTTCAGAATTTATATCTCAAAGGATGTCTTCAATTTGGTAGTATCATGCATTCAATTCAAAGCTACAGATGCAGTACATTACTAACAACAGCTTGTCAGTCAGAAAATCACAGTTCAACAAAACCATTTGAACATTGTCTTTCTAAGAACTCACTGCATGGCTTATAGTTCAATATACTTAACCCTTTAGTTCCCAAGGGTGATTAAAATGTAATTTCTCCCGAAGATATCCAAACGTTATCCAACAAAAAGGTGGTGACAATACTTAAACTTATCAGGTAGAAGATGTTATCTTGACCAAACACTAAATTCTTGTAACAAATTTACAAGGAAATGTGTAGCAGCTAAAGGGGAGAATTATCAATCAGATCTTGGGGGTTTAAGAGTTAAAACAAGTCAAACTTACTTACCCACTTGGGCCAGACCATGTCCATGTCACAGTGTCCTGTTAATCAAAAACAGAATAGTTCTTAAATAAAATAAGAGAGATGGTAAGTTTTGAGCTTGGTTAAGAAATAAAGAAAGATGTTTTTTTGTCTGGTCACGAGTGTGGGACAAAGAAAAACGCATGTCATATATGAACTTTGTAATGGACCTCACTCACCATAGAGTCTCTGAGGCTCAGTGGTAGGGCATCGGAGTGCAGAATTTGAAAGTCTGAGTTTTGATTCCTCTTGGGGTATCCAGTTACCTCGCCACCAAGCAGACTCGCCACCAGCGAACTCGCCACCAAGGAACGATCTCGCCACCAACGTACTCGCCACCAAGCAAAGTCTTCTCGCCACCAACCACCAATAAAGAGATTAGTCGAGGAGAGTAGGATGTTCGGCTGATAAGTTTGTTCGCTTGTCTGTACTCAAACTTTATAAACGTATGTTGTCGAAAGCACATTCGAAACCGATAAGTTTGTTCGCTTGTCTGTACTCAAACTTTATAAATGTATGTTGTCGATAGCACGTTCGAAACCGAAGTAAGTTTGTATTCCTCGCATCGAGTTTTGCAATTTCTCCTCGCTTACGTGCAAAAGACAAACATGATACGGTTTGATGTCCATGAGTTAGGAACGGAACACATCTAACACGTCGCTGAAGGTCATAATTTAAATACAGACAAGTGCACAAACGTATCAGCCGATTTGAATTGTGCTCGTTCGAACATCCTACTCTCCTCGACTACTTTATTGTAGTTTATCTCTTTATTGGTGGTTGGTGGCGAGAAGACTTCGCTTGGTGGCGAGTACGTTGGTGGCGAGATCGTTCCTTGGTGGCGAGTTCGCTGGTGGCGAGTCTCCCTGGTGGCGAGGTAACCGGTAACCCCTCATGGGGACTCAGAATTTTTTCTTTGTCCCACACATCTTTCTTTAGAATAGTTCTTTTTGATAATTTGTAGTTTTTAGGTAAAAAAATACAAAAACAACAATTGGAGAGTGTGGTAATTTCATAACACACTGAGGTATTACATAATTTTCTGAAATTATGAGAAATCATTGAAAATGATGTAAATCTATTATTTTTCTTTATGGATTTTAGGAAAGGATTTTCTTCTTAAAACTTTTTGTCACTCTGTGGTCAAAATTATTTCTCTAGTATTATAGCACATCAATATTTGAACTGATTGGTCAGTAAGCTGTGCCTGACACTAACCAGTCTGTTGGGATATTTTAATGCCACAGCTTGAACTGGGACACCTGTATAAAATGCTCCTACAAACACAGAGAAAGAAAATGAACATCTGTCATAAAATAGAAGACATTTCAAAGTTATATGCAGTCCCCTTAACAGCTCAAATTCATCATCCCTCAATGCCAAAGAAAAGCTTCCTAAATGCCAGATCATGAGCTCTTTCTAAAGAAAACCACTTTGTGCCAATCCTTAACCCTTTCACTCCCAAGATCTCATTAGTAATTCTCCTTACTGTCTGCCAAATGATTCTCAATATGTTAGTGTGGGGAATTTGGTATCAGATAAATTAGCAATTCCATAATTGATATTTTTCTTAATTCTCATCACTTGTCTGCATGATATTGTATAGATATAGTAAGGAGAAATACTGTCTTGGTCACTCACAGAAGTTGAAGGGTTAACCCCTTCACTCCCAAGATCTTAGAAATAAGTAATTCTTATTACTGTCTTTTATACAATTCTCATAAGGTTAGTTTGAAGAATTTTGTATTGGATCAATTAATAATACCCTAATTGATATTTTTATTAAATATTATCATCACCTGTCTGCTTGGTATTGTCAGGAGAAATTCTGTGTTGGTAACAAATGGTGGTCGATAAAGAGTTAAAAGCAAATAAGATTTAAAATATTTGTTACCAACCTGGTTTAAAAGTGATCAGGCATTTCCTATTAGTACAGGTTCCTACAAGAAGACATGCAAAGTATTGCATTAGACAGTTACTTGGGGTTGATACTCTCTGTTTAGAACTTTCCAAACCAGTTTGATTTTTCTTAGCTTGAGTCAGATTAATCATAAAGAATACAGAATGAAGTTCAATAATAAACAATTGAACTGGTCTGAAAAATTTGAAACTAAGAAAAATAATTCAACTAGTACATAGTCATGGATATTAAACAATCATTCCACAAGTGGGCAATTTGGATATGAGATGATAGATAGCCAACAAGGCCTGTAGGGCCAAGTTGTTTATAATCATCTCATATCCAACAAGCATGAGTGGAATTTTTGTGTCATCAAAAACACCCAAAATATACTCTTCCCAACTTTATTTTGTAAGAACAAAGAGAATGTTACAATGTAAAAAACACTTCCAGTTTCACTTGTCTTCATGTGTGTGCATGGTATAATGGCTCATAGCCCATGATGGCAATGAAAACTCTTGAATTGCATCATCCAATGATCCACTTTTGAATAAAATACACTACCTACCTTCTGGAAATATCACCACATGAGGCCATTTTCCACCAGAACTGGCTCTTCTTTTGATTTCAGAGATTGTCTTCTTTCGGGAATCTGGATCTGTTCTTGATACATACACAGGTTGTAATGCACGTATGCATCCTGTAACAAGTTAAGACAAACTAGAAGTTAGTTTGATTACTTGATGGTTTGGATTGATCTCAACTGTCAATTAAAAGGTTTCTATGAGGTAAAAATAAGAATTTTAAAAAGATTTTTCATCCAGAAATGTTGAAGCAGGAAAATATTCAAATTGGTTATTTCCATCTAAATCTGCCTAATAGCTCTGGTCATCAAAATTTAGTTGGAGGATTCTGGTAAGAAACCTGAAATTGTCTGATCTTCTTTAGAAGAATAATGAGCCCCCTAATAAATGGTAGGCATTCAAACAACCAAATGGAAAAGCCAGGTGTTGAGTGAAATCTTATTAGTTTTTATCTTCTCAAATGAAAAACATTTTTGATAAAATGATGTTATTTTCTCATGTTACTATAATGACATAAATGTATACTGTACTTTTGTACCAGAGTGATACAGAAAAACTTCTCTTTGATTAGTACAGATAAAGAAACCAACTCATACATAAAATTGTGCAGAATGTCCCACATGTTCCATCCACCAACTTTGCAAAACACCCTTTTTACTTGAACATCATTCAGGGTGCATATTCTCCATATTGTTCTCTGCACATTTTTTATTGTACTGACAAGGAGAATTTTTTAAAAAAATTCAGAGCCCCTCTAGTTGGAGATCATTTCCTTTATTCTCATGACCTTCATGTGTGATTCAGGGATGATAATGTAGTGAGAGATAAGATTTTGGTCACTTTTAGGGGTTAAAGGGTGAACTAAGAATGTTATGAAATTGAATTCACACTAACCCCCTACAAGAGGTATTGAATCATTTTCCTTCCTGGAAACTCCTGAAGGTAAGCAAATAACACTCAATGCCAAGGCATCAATAAATGATGAATGTGGAGCCACAGTTAATATTGGAGCTTCCTCTGAACTGCTCAGTTTGCCTTTGACTTTAACCCAATGAAAACCCATGCAGAATAACATTGCCCGTGCAATACCACGAAGTGGCTTTCTCATGATCCTACATGAAAACACAGCATGCTGATTATAATAAAAGCTTTGGTCACAGTTGCTGACACAGGAATTAAAACTACAGCATACAGCCAGGAATATTAATTTCAAACTCAGTTGTAGGAACATAAATTACTGGTAGCTACCATTAAGAGTTTCAAAGCTGATGTTTTGAGGTTAGCCCTTCATCAGAGCAAATGACAAAGGGCCAATGCTCGAAACGTAAGCATTATTATGTTCTTTATATTATAAACTCCATTGATAATACTTGATTACCCAGTTATACTCTCCCACCAATGCAGCACCACAGTTTCTTTAAAAACTTACCCCTTTTATTCAGTTGTAGGTACATCTACGTGAGCTGTGCATGATACAGGGGAGAAGTAGTGGCCTTAGCTTAGCTGGCCAAGTCATGGTGTTGTGTTTATGGAAAAAACACTTTCCTTCCACAGTGCCTCTCTACACTTAACAATTGGTTCATATGTCAGTGTGCATTAATCGAGATATATATGAAGCACACAGGAAGTTTGAAGAGCACAAAAGATGCATAAGAGTTGCTCAAGGCATAGCCTCAAGCAACTCTAGCTTCTCGTGTGCTCTCCAAACTTCCCGCGTGCTTCATATATATCTCAATGAACGCACAGCTGACATATGCATCAATTGTTTTATAACATTTTCAACCTGATGGAAAAAATTTTTCTTCTCAAGGGATTTGTTTGCTGATGTCATGAGCGTGCACAATAGGAATATGAAGCACACTCGCACAATTGAATTTGATTAAACAAATTTACTAGCTATGTTATAACAAGGATTATATAAGGGTATATATGCACTAGGGATGTCTGATGAAATTCTGCAAGGAAACCTTGCAAAGGACTGGTATCCCATTCAGGGTGGGAGTAATGATACTCCTGGTGTCTTTATGCTATGGAAGCCAGGATAAGCTCTGGCTGGATGAGCAACATGGCACAAGTACAGACTTTATCTTCCTAATTTTTGCACTACAGACCTGACATAACTCAAGCAAAATAATGGTAATAACACCTTCTGTATCCTGACAGTGGTTCTGGTTCTTCTTCTTTCTTCATACACAGGGTAGTCAGTTTTCCTATCACACTGGCCACAACGAGGAGAAAAAACAAGCACAGGAGCCTGACTGGAAACAGTGTTACACTAAGAATTGCAACCTGAAATAAAACAATTGTATACAAATAACATGGTTATAAATATTATCCTTATGATTAAAGGCAAAACAACTACATGTATCACACAAAAGAGTGTTAAGTTTTTTTTATCTAAATGCATGAGCTAAGAAGGAAGATTTCACCTCTTCTACAGGAAGAGAGACATTGTCAACAACCCTGCTGAAGCAACTGGATTTGGCAAAGTAGTTTGTGAATGAAGTGGACTAGCAGTTACGATACATATTAAAAATGAAGGTAAAAAGCCATTATAGAACCTGGCATTCAGTTGTTTTATACAACCAATACCATTTTCCCTATGAACTCCTAACTCCCCCCCTCCCCCATAAAAAAACAAACAATACCTCAACATTGTGTGAACATTTTTGTCAATATCTATGGATTCTTCAAAGAGCCACACTTAAAATTGAAAGGCTCAGAGCAAAAACGATCCCTTGATTTTTCGGCCATTTTTGAAAGTGTTCAGAAGTAGTTGTCAACTACTTCTCACACAGTTGTTTCTTCTTCACACAGTGGCTTTGCCTATAAGGAGTATAATACTAAGAGCTTAAAACAATGAGCTTTCTAAGTAAAGAGACCCTATAGGGCCCATTAGAAGAGACTTTTTTCACGGATTTTTTTTTTTTTTTTTGGCTCAAGTGACATGTAAAGCTAGAGCGACGACGAGGCGTAATTTATGCTTTCAAATTGCTCAGAACCAGCGGGATGGATGTTTGTTTACATTGATACTGTTTGGACAGCTGAGATAAAAGTAACTCACTGTGAATTTTAATTCGATCGTGGACAAAATTTATCGTTACAAATGCGTTCTTTGATACCCAATACTGCTACCATTCTAATTCTTGTGTGTTCTTAACATTTCAAACAAGAAAAAAAAAGATAAATTGAATTACCTTGAGTTTGTCGCAGAGTGTGAGCTTTAACTTGAAAGAGAACGGATTGTGTACATCGGGCTCCACGAGAGATTTGGCGCGCAAAAGGACTTTAGGTTTAGGCGCTGCAGACATCTTTTACCTCAATTAAAGCACATTAAAAGTCCTGAATAAATCATGCATATTTGTAATAACAACTAAAAGGCCTCGTACAGATTACGATGACCTTTTTATGAAAACAACTTATTGTATGCAAAGTAGTTTACAACCTCGTTTCGGTGACGATCTCGTTGACGTGCTGGTATGATAGGCGCGTTTGTTTCACGCGGACAAGGAAAATTCCGGGACAAATTTTAATACGTGATCGGAAAGATCACCGCGCGGAAAGTACTTTAAAGTGAAGTTTTTTTTTTTCCTAAGGAAAGGGCAGAGGTTGCTTTTCATGGAGCCAAATAATGCGTTAAAACATTTATTTTGTTAAAGAGGCTTTATAGCATAGCTGGTAAATTTGTCTAATCAAATTCAATTGCGCGAGCGTGCTTCATATTCCTATTGTGCACACTCATGACGTCAGCAAACAAATCCCTCGAGAAAAAAATTTTCCATGGGGTTGAAAATATTATAAAACAATTGGTTCATACGTCATCTGTGCGCTCATTGAGATATGAAGCACGCGGGAAGTTTGGAGAGCACGAAAGATGCGTAATAGTTGCTCGAGCCGTAGCCGAGAGCAACTCTAGCTTCTTTCGTGCTCTCCAAACTTCCCGCGTGCTTGATATCTCGATGAACGCACGCTGACGTATGAACCAATTGTTAATTTGCCCATCGCGAAACCACCTGGAGGTTCCACGTTCTGCCTTAGCTGGAGGAGCCTATTCTATTTTCATGTGTTGTCCTTGTTAGAAAACAACCCCTTTAAAACAAATCCAAACATAATTTAGGACTACTGTAGAAATTATCACAAAATAAATGAAACCCTTGCGTAAAAAGTCCATCCATCAGACTCATTACCACATCATATCCCAACTAACCTATTAGTGGTTGGTGTAAGGCGTTTCCCTGTATATACTTGAAATTTATAAGTGTACCCTAAATTTGACCTAACAAGAATCCATAATTTGAAGCCCCATTTAGTGGGTTCATCTTTTATACCTTGTTTTATTCCAACTTGTCCTTTAATAATTATAAGCCACCATTCTTCCATCAATTGAAATATTTTGATTTGGTACAAAGTAGGTCTCGCAGGCCAATTGTAATTCATTCATCAGAAGTTTCAATTTAAAAAGAGGATTACAAGGTTCTTTTCGTGCTCTATGTTATTCATTAATCAGTTATATCTTGTCCATAATCACATAAACGAGAGTCGCTAAAATATTCATAAAACGTGTTCCGTTCATGCCAGAAACACGTACAAAGTCCTGACCGAAAAAATTGTCATCATTCCAGTATTCCAGGTATTCAAGAACTTGAACGAAGGGACTCTTATTTTTTCAAGGACTGGACGTATCCCTTTTCTTAAGAATTTAGACAATAGAGTACGCAATTTCCCAAGCGATGATAACCTTAAAAGATACCCGACCAAATTTCTTGAAATGTGTCAGAGTTCTGTGCTTAACGACAAGGAACTGGAAGTGGATTTTCGATTGCTTATTGCATCTGTATCCTCGGTCGAAGGTGACTCAAATTCTGAAGTCGTGGATGGACTATTCAAAGCTCTGGTGTCCAAGTTAGAAAACACGCGTATGATGAATTCATGAATGCGAAAGTAGAAAGGGACCTCACTGAAAAATGGGGGCAAAGTTATGGACGCCGTTGAAATGCTCAGACCTAATTTCAAGTCCTATGCATTGTCAACTAGACGCAAACAGTAATAATAGTTGGTTGTCGTAATCTCTTATGAGATAACAAAATACCAATTTCATTAGTTATTTTATAATATACTGGAAAAAAAAACAGCATTGCCATATGTGGTTTTTTGCAAGAACTGATATTGTAGTTTACCCCTTTAAATTGCATCTAACAATGGTACTTAAGTATGATGAAGAAATCAAAGTGGACTCTAATTACCATGAACGTTTCAGTTCATCATATTTACTTCCAGGTTCAGAACCACGCAGATAACAAGTCTTAATTACATTTTGTTTGTTATTTATTTCTGTACATTTTCCTCTGAAATCGTGTAATATCCAGTACAATAAAGCATTTACAGATTATCTATCAAATTTTTATTAGTTTACTGGTGAAGCCTCAGATCTTTGTGTAACAAGCACATAGAGTCATCTTTCGCCGGCGAACGATAAATTAATCGCGAATTTTCAAAGTGCTTTAGGGAAAAGCATGTAAGCGATGGTAGATGAAACTGCATAAATTTGAAAGAGTTCGACGTCGGGAATCCGAAACAATTTTTTTCTTTTAATCTCTTGCCCAATTAGTGCCGCGTGCGCTAGATCTCAGTTTTGTCCGACACTACTGTTGTTTTACTAATTGATTATCTTTATTGTTCAATCATACAAGCCTCTTCGAATGGAGGAATAAAAATCAAGCAGGAATGTTTTAAACTATTCGCGCTCTACATAGGGGAATAATCCCAATGCTTTTATAGGGAGTATTCGAATACAATAAAAACACTTAACAATTTAGTTCATCATTTTCGTGTTACAACAGTAATGCGAAGCCAGAGGCTAAATGGCCTACAGGGGTATTTTCTCGACAGGTTTTCTACTCACCGCGAACAAGTTTATTTTAAAACATTGTGACGCACTCAGTTATTTCCAAAACTTACCTAAACACAGGTTCCGCAGGTTTTCATTATTTTTCAGAAATTAAATGGTTTTTAAAGAAACGGAATAGTTTCTGGCTTGGATCAGGGAAGTGATTCCAATCCATCAACCTCTTCGTACCCTTCCAAGTTCTCCAGGCCAACCAATAAGATTTAGTCCATGTTTTCTCTGCGAGCCATGTAGCACTTAACCGTGAGACCTCTTTAGTGATTGTAACTGGGTCACCTGTGCATGCGCAACCCTAAGGCATTGAGAGCGAGCGAGCAATAAAGATGGCTGACTGAAATGTTTTCTTGTTTCTCTGTGTATAATCCACCTACATCGAAGACTTGTTTGTAGTATAGACATTGCAACCTCAGCCAACCATTCAGTTTAACCCCTTTGTCCACACCACCAGCATGCAATGTTCCACTCAAAGTCATTTTTGAAAGTCGCACAACATCGTTAGTAATCAAAACCATGACGGTTTCCTCAAATGTGACTGGTGCATTCGCTGCCTTAATTTTCATTAATTATTCTGTACAGTTGCGGTCGGGTAGTTGGCTGTAATCCAACACCTGTAATCGGACAGTGAAAGCAGCCAATCATATCAAGTCTACTCAACTAAATCCGCCGATCACAGAATTGATTAAATGACCAAATCAACAACGACTTACCATACAAAACTAGGGAATTTCCTATTCAAACTTTGCATTTGGCTTTTGCTCAGGATTTTAATATTTTTTTTGGATGATTATGATGAAAACCTTTTCTCAAATAAAAGTATTTGTTTTTTTTGTTTTGTCTCGTTTTGATTTGTTCTTTTTCAGAAATTGTAATGGTTATGATTAATTGGTAACAGGACTTCGTGTCGTGCGTAATCATACCTGTGATTGGCAAATCGGACTCCCACTTTGCGGTCGTCCGATTTTGTAATTACTGGTATGATTACACACCAAATTGCACTCCACTCGATTCTATCGTTCTAGCCAAAGTGATCCGTTGTACACCAGTTCGGTCAAACTAGCTCGTGATCATGATCGTGATTGGTGATTGCTAACCATCTAGTCCACCAACCATTTTAGTCCATTCAAAATTTTACCAACCGTCAATCCAAAGGCACGACTACCTTTTTTTCTAGGCCTGTACCGCTATTCTCATTGTAAAGCTCCGTATAATTTTCATCATCTTCGCTGCCGGTCTCCTCAGACCTAGTACTTAATGTTTGTAGGCTTCGTACTCTGAGAAGGTGGTGTTCTTGGGATAATCTGGTAGTTCTTCATGTTCTAATAATAATAATAATAATAATAATTTATTCATTTCTAGTGCGCATCTTTACATGACTATGATCAGATGCACATTCCTAAAGTATATATTATATAAAAGAGAATTGAAGAAACTAAAGTATATATTATATAAAAAGAGAAAATGCTAATAATATGCTAATCAAATCTCTATTAAGCATATGCAAGACTAAAAAGATAGGTCTTAAGTTGAGTTTTAAAACTAGTAACACATGTGATTGAGCGAAGCTCACAAGGCAGAGAGTTCCACAATGACGGCGCCGCAACGGCGAATTCCCGATCATCTAGCGTGGCCTTAGATTTCACTGATGGCATAGCTAGGAGTAGAGTATTAGAACCCTTGAGATTACAGCATGATGTCTTTATACTAATTAATGACCGTAGATACTGAGGTGCAAGGCCATGTAACGCCTTAAACGTGAGGAGAAGTACCTTGGAGTTGATGCGTGCCCTGATAGGCAATCAGTGCAAATCGCGCATTATTTGTGTAATGTGACAAAACCTAGGCGCATTACATACCAGCCTAGCGGAAGCATGCGGAACTCTCCAAATTTTCGCAAGCTGGCTGTTTGTCAGTCCATGCAATAGGCAATGTTCTTTGCGCATGGTACATAGACAATCTACGTAGTTTAAAAAATTGGAATAGAGAGTACCCGAACATAGAAGTTGTCCAACTAATTTTTGAAAAACGTGAGATGAAGGGCAAAAAACAAACAAACAAATAACAGCATTATAGGTCATTATCAACGGAATCAATTGTAATCGGAACCGCAGTTGGACAAGATAGGCATATCAGAGCTCAGTATTGATCACGTGAAAGTGTCGACAGTATGCAATGTTCGGAACCTACGGACGTGGTTCGACAACCATTTGAGCATGAAAACCGCCATCAACAAGACTTGTCAATCGGGACTTTACCATTTGCATGATATTGGGTGCATTAAAATATTTCTTAGCTATGAAGATGGAAATTCGATTGTTCAGGCAATAGTGATGTCGAGAATAGAATATTGCAATAGTCTATTGTATGGTACGAACCTTAGCAAGCTCCAATGGGTGTATACACGGCAGTCCGATTGGTGTGGTCATTGCCAAAATATGAACAAGTCACATTGTCATTTATATGTCTTCACTGGCTGCCGATTAAGTTTAGAATCAATTTCAAGATTGC